AAGTTGCCAAGGTTGGAGACCCTTGGCCTAGAGCGAGGGCCTCATATCAGCGAATAGGGAAGACGGCGGAGAAGCGCCCATCGATGCATTTAAAAAGGCAGAGAGGCCAACTCGTTCCTTTTCGAGGCTCTTTCTGCCTGGCTTGGGAGGTCATCATCTCGAAATACTCGCCCTTCGGGAAATGACCACAAGGCGAAGGCTTTGCCTGGCTATTCCGCTTCGTGCCCTTGTGTATGTGTGTGTGTGTGTGTTTTGTTTTAAAGCCTCGGCCTCCCGTCTGCTTTGCAGGCCGGAAGTGGGAAAGCGGAGAGGCGGGTTCCTAAGCCTAGGAGAGGAGGAGGCTCCTGGAAGGCTGCCTGCCCGGGTGTCTTTGCAGGACAAGGCCGAGGAGGAGGAGGCGGAGGCGGGCGCCTCTCCGCCGGTCTAGGGAGCGGCCCCGCCTGGCGCTGAAGCAGCTGCCCTTGCCAGCCCGGCAGCGCGGAAAGGGGGCGCCTCCCGTCCCGTCCCGTCGTTAGAGCCCCTGCTTCTTCCCCGACCCCCCCCCCTCACCTCGGCCCACCGCATGTCGAGCCTGCAGCGCCCCCCAGCTGTTTCGGCCCAGGCCCCGCCGGTTTCCTTAAGCGCGGAGCAGGCCAAAGGTGAGGCGGCAACTCGGAAGCGGGTTTGGAGCATGCAACCCCGGGGGGCTGCAGGGAGACCCGGGGATGCAACAGTCAGGGGGAGGGCCTCCCTGCATGGCGGACAAGAGCTTGCTGCTTCTCCAAAATCTGGGCCGAGCTCTGGCCCAGATTTTTCTGCCCGCTGGTGCTCCTCCCTGGTCCCAGTCAACGGCTAGAGAGAGGAGGGGCCCTGCCGGTTAGAAATACAGGGAGATTTGCGTTGACAATAAAGAGAAGGGTTTCATTGGAAGCTGGGCAAGAAATAGACCGTTTCGATTTTTAAAGGTTTAAAACTAAAAAGGGGGGGTTTTTATTTTGGGGAACCCCACCCCCCCCCCCCCCCATGGCTTGTGCAGAGAAAGCTGTGCAACCTAATCAGGTGTTGTTTTTTTAAATGGTTATCCTCCAGGTC